TTTTATTTTGTTTTTGATTGTTGAGAAAACTCACCATTTGTTTTGCTATTATTAAAATTAGCTAATTTCACAGACTATTCATCATTGTATCTTTTGCAGCAGCTTTGCGTTTAACTTTTTATTGATTTTGTCAAACTTCTAGAACAATTTTTTTTTTACCTGAGAAGTTTAAGGGTCCAGTTTTTGTGTTCTCGTTTGATGCAAGAGCATGCCTTTAACTTTGTTGTTTTAATTATGAATAATGGAAATCAAGTAGGCAGTTCTGTAACTGAATTTGTAAACTTTAGGGGAAAAAAGTAGTTTATGCTATTGACACATGTTATTTGCAAAATTTCAGCTCTAACACTTCAAACTTATTGGTTACTCTCAAAAGATATGTACAAGTATTTTGATACATGGACATATATGATATTGAAGACAATTTTGGGACAGCATTTTTTTTTCTTTCTTTCACTTCTTATTTGTTCAAGTGTGTTGGTAACATCAGGGTAATTACGATTCAGCTTCAAAATACTACATTTTTGCCAGAGGCGTATCCTATATAGCAACAGCAAATACATGCAAAACGCCATGTAAATTCCCTCTACGATAGCAAGAAGTATGAATACTGGTTAGAAAATGGTTCATGAAAGAGAATCCCCCCCCCCCCCCATCATTATCTATTATTAGTGTGTTTTCCCATTTACGGTAAATGACATAACACTCTCTTGGATGAAAAGGTATGTATTGTAGAAAAGATTGATGGCTTTTGCTTTAAATAATGAACACTTTATATTAAAAGCATGCTGCATTAAAAGCCCTGTATGATGTACATGTAATTTGCAAGCTTCTTTCATTTCATATCTATATCAATATTTCTATTCTGACAAAAAAAAAAGTTGTAAGCCACTATGTGTAGTACATGTAGTTGTTCAAACACAGTATTAAATTGTTTAATGTCCTTTTTCATTATTTGTTGTTGAAATTATGATATTTCTTGTAAGGAGTTTTCGGGACGTACTACGAAAGTGGGAAGGCACTTCTTGTTCATTGTGATTTATTTCGCATTGAAACGCTCTTTAAGCCATCTTTTTGTGCGTCTATGGAACGTTGGCATTTGATAAAATTTGACATGCTTGTATATGTACGAGGTGCACAATTTTTTTGTACATGCACCAAAGTTGTTCACATTTCACAATTAAATTTGCATTGAATATGCTGAATATGTACGTTGTTTATGTATAACAATATCCTAATCGTGTAACATTCTTATGAAAAGAGATGAATATTTGTTTCTTATATTATTATGCAAAAAAATATATTATAAAATCCACAAAAAAACTAATGCTCCCGGTAAAGTAAAGTTATGTGCTTTAAAAAAATGTATGTGTACTTGTAAACATTTGCAAAAAGAATTTTTGAATTTTTATAACATGTTAACCTTCAAAGCAGTGTAATTACCCCCTCCTACCCCTTCAAAACCCGACAAGAAAATCAATACATGGGACTGAGATTATTCCCCATGATGACACTGACTTTTCACAAGATGTTATTCAATGGAGACGTTGGCTCAAAAAAAATGTGTGAAATTAAACTGGTTATGATCATTGATAAAAAAAAGTAATTATCCATTCTGATAAGGTTTCAATTTTAGAAATCAAATTGTGCTCACCAAAAGAAAGAATGCATAAAAAAACTATACTCTTAGCTTTACATTCATTCCCACAAAAGAAATTCACCTATAGAGTTAAACCATTGCCTGTCGGAATCAGGAGGTCTCTGTAGTAAGCCTATGGGAATTTGAAAATTCAGTAGTCGTCGGGTTAAGGGCAATGGGGGAGATAGAAAGGGGTAGGAGAGGGGTCGAGTTACGCAGCTTTGAAGTGTAGATACCCCCTCCATGTACAGATATTTCCATGCAGTTTAATATAAATGGTAACATTTTGAATGTGTCGAATTATATGATTATGATGAGTATATTATTATTACACTGTCCACACACAAAAAACAAATCCACAAGAAGCTTCTTCGGTTGTTTTTTTTGAAGAAAAGTGAAGAAGTTTACCACACACAAAAAAAAATAATGTTTGAATGTTAAGATTGTATGTAGCTCATTGGTCCATTAAGTGAACTAGGACCACATTTCAAATTAAAGATTATGGTGCAATTCAACACAAAGGCATTTGTGATTTATTTTGTGTAATTTTTATATTTTGCTGTTGTTACTGGATGTTATAGTGAGGAGTGATTGTATTATAATCATTGAAATTAATTGAAGATCAACTCTGCATAGCCCAAGTCAAATAATTTTGTCAACCAAACTTTGCAAAACATTTGTTATCTACCCTTCCTACATGTAATGCTACGGTCACAAAGGTTTGTATGAACGATAATTTCGTACAAATCTCCATTTTTCCATAGTCTTCCCGAATTTCCATTGTCTGAAAATCGTTCGTACGGCAGTTCATAATGGCATTTGTGACCAAGGCTAAGTCAGAATTTGATCAAATACCCCAAAAATGGCAGTCCCAACAGACTTGACTTTTGCAGAGTTAACTTTATATATTGACTGAAAGAGAGAAAGATAGAGAGATGAAAGAGAGATGAAAGAGAGAGAGAGGAGAAGAGAGAGAGAGAGAGAGAGAGACCTATTCTGCCAAATTGATTGCTCATTTTTTAAGCCATATAATTATTGGTGTACCAACCATAGAGAGTGATAGTGAGATTTATTCTTCCTGTGCAGCATGCCAGCAGTTCACGGAACAACAACTGTCACCTTTTTTTGTTTGTAAAGTAGCTGTTCTTATATATAAAATATATGGATTCATTCAGTGAGATTCTAGACACTTGGAACCAAAATGACAGTGAAGTTGAGAAAGAAGAAAGTAAAAGTTACAGAATCCAATCTCTATCATACACCCTAATGATTATATGGCTTCAAAAAGTTACATCACCCTCGGAAACTATTGTTTCATGTACTGTTTATAATTCTACAGTGCATCTCAAAAAAATCTTCAAAACAATTTGAACCGTTGATTTGGGGAGACTTTTTCCTGCTGTAAACTTTTTTGGGACACACTGTTTTACTGTATACAGTCATGCCTGCTTCAAAATTTAAAGCACATTATCCAAGTCACTAACAGATAATGCTTTAAAATAATAACAACAAACTTTACACTCAAAAGTAAGATAAATTGTAAAAATTCTTTAATTACAACTATGTACAAATCAGTGCAAGTCTATATCATGCAAGTAAATAAATGATCATTTTACATGTAACATGTAGCACTATGCATTGTTCACTGATAATTCTTTTCATAAAGAATAAATGTGTAATGTATCCTACCGGTGACTATCGAAAAACAGAGCTGAAAAAAAAGCCATCATATGGTAGACTAATGTTTAAGTTATTTTCCTGGGTTTTTATTTTCGCAAAGTATTGGCAACACACTCGTTAATGGCGAATCCAACAACACTCAAAAATATTTCCAGCGTGTAATGTCGCTGTCCAAATCACTAAAATAGCTGTGTTGCATGTCTCGCACAATGTCTATACACTATCCACTGGGTCATGCGGGGAAGTTTGAGACCAAACTGATAGTAACGGGGCACTTCAATAGATTTTTTTTTAAATTTCTCCAATATTTCTTACATTGGGATTGTGATACTCAGTATTCATGATCCAAAGAAACGGAATGAGAATTATTGAAAAGTATATATAAGTAACTTGTTTTGGTTGTTTTGGTTGTGGCTTCACATGAATTTAACATCTCTCAATTATAGTCCTTGAACCCTTGATCTGCAAAATATCTGCACACAAATATATTGTTTTATATTCCACATACTAAGAATCTTGCTCTACGATTGGTCAAAAGTAAATCACGTGATGAAAGATAGTTCGCCCATTATTGATGGGAGAAGTAAAAAGTTTGTTACACTGTGTAGATAGTACTACTATCTACACAATGCAACGCACTTTTACTGAAGATAGAGGTACTATCTAAACAGGGCAACGCACTTTCACTGAAAATTATCTAAAAGGGCACTAAAACAGGCGTAATTAAGCGCGCATTACCAATGAGCGCAATTAAAGAAAACATATGCGCGCACCGTACCTTCAAGGGGTTGGGTTAAACTTTTAACTTTTTTGGTGTGAATTTGGGCCTGGTGTCTTTTATGTAGGTGCACACACATCCTTTCTTTTTGAAGTTAAATTGTTTTAGATGTGGAATATAAAGCAAATAATCACCTTTTAGTTTCAGGCGATGGCAAACTATCACTTCCTCGTCGATCAGAATGTATACGCTATCTTTCCTCAGCTTTGCCTCGGAAAGATAGCTACATCCAGATCGCCTCGGAAGTGATAGTTTGTCCCATCACCTTCACCAACGGTAGTTATTTGCTTATTATACATTAATTAAAAACTGGTTTAACCTAAGTACACTAATGTATGGAGTGCCAAGTGTTGGGCTCAAAACACATAGAATCCAGTCGTGACATGAAAATTAGAAATTGATTCCATGACAATAAATTTTTGCTTATTCAGTTACAAATAATTTGACAAGATGAAGAGGTTAAAATCTGGTGCTCCTCAAATCACAGAGCTATTAGCAATTGACCATGATGTATGATCGATCAATCAATCGTACAACCAATTGCTAGGCTTTGTGTTTTATTTGGCCCTGGACTAAAGTTATTTCCTGCTAGTGCACTCTTTGATTCAGATTTGCCATGGTGAACCGCTGTTTTTAAAAATATAATTACGTAAATTGTAATACATTTCCCATTTCTGAATCTTACACATGTCATATACATGTACAAGTTCATCTTTTAATATTCTTTAATTAGTGCTTGGACTCTAAAGGGATCCTACACTGAGACAAAGTACATTAGCTGGCTAAGATATAACACACAGCAGGAAGAGAAAAAAAAAGAAAAAAAAAGCATGATCTGAATGACATCACTGTTGCATTGTGGGAGCAGTTGTAGGCCACAATTTTAGAGTACATGAGACAGAGGGCTCGATCAGTCTGTGCTCATCAGATGGAGTTGATTGAAAGTCTTTGCAGTTCCATGTTGGACTACGTCTGTGGTATCTTAACATTGCATTCCTCGTCTGTCTCTACGCCCACTTCCTCCTGTCAAAACAAAAAGAAGAAAAAAGGATAACATAAAAAAAGATGAAACAAATATTATATTGAAAGTAAAATAAGGAAGATAGAGAGAAGATGACATGTACCAATGATAAACACATAAGTGAAAAGATTTCAAACAGGTTTAAAAGCTCAGTTGGGTTGTCATGGGGAATTCAACACCATTTGGGTGTTCATAGGTGTTGTCAATCACAGAGTGGACTTCACTTTTATGAACGACAGGTCTTGTATAATGCACTGTGCCCCGAATCTACAATCATAAGGAATTCCAATCCTACTAAATTTCACTCAGCTCTGAGATGTGATCGAAGGCAAGCTGGAGTATTTTCTAGTGGGACAACGAGTTTTGCTGCCTGAGAGACCTGTGCACACATTAATTCTCGCTACCCCAAATAGCGATTCTGCCGAGATCCGGGGAAAATCCTGAAAAGCGCATTGCATTATGGGATAGCTTTTCGACATTACAGCTTCCTGTGCAGGCGTTCGTGATCACAACCCTCTCTTTCACGGTAGAGTTTAACGGCCTTTTGTGCTAAAGTCACTAATTCTGCCCGAAGCTTTCCATTGCATATTATAATCTGTACAAATTACACTGATTGGCATCGATTTTAGCGTGCGTGAAAACTCTGCACAGCGAACACAGGCGCTAGCGCCAGCGGGATGGGACTCTATACCGGAAGTTGTAGTGACGACCCGAGAGAGTGAAAATTACCTCGTCTCGCGAATTTCGAGATTTTCGTACCTATTTAGGGTAGCGAGAATTGGTAATTCAACCAAATTTGGTGTCAGCGAATTACGATGCAATGCATATGGATACTGACTACTATGTAGCTTTAAAATCATTCAATTCATTGTTCACAGCCATCTGTCAACATAATGGCAGAAGAAGAAGAAACAGAGAGGTGGGGGAAGAAACAGATAATGACAAAATTAATATGTAAAGAATCAGCTAGTGAGGAAGAAGTATGATGATAGAAAGAGTGTGTCAGGAAGAGAGAAAGAGAGAAAGAGAGAGAGAGAGAGAGAGAGAGAGAGAAAGAAGGGAGGGGGCATGAAGAGTCCCCAAAGAGGAAAAGTATGTAAGAGAAATGTAGAAAGAGAGACAGAAAGATGAATGACATTTACATGAAAATTTAGAAAAGAAAAATAGAGAAATATATGAAATAGAAAGACAGTGTGATATTCTTACCACCAACTGTTTCTTGCTTTTAGGATACCCCTCTAGAATAGCATCAAGAATGTCCATTGCCTGTAATAAATTAAACAAATTAATAATAATAAATTAACAAATAAATTAGTTTTAAATCAATATATACACCAACATCAATTCATCTCTATCCAACAAAATTTACAAAAATCACACTGCACTTAATAAAATCATACCTATTTACTCCCAGTTTGATAACATTTTTATTCCAAATTTTTCCACATATTTTCTTTGTAACTTATTTAGAAGTGTAGTTGATTTCAAATCACTTCTAAAGAAAGAGATGACAAGTAAAAAAAAAAAAAAAAAAAAAAGAAAAAAGATATCGAAACTCATTCATCTTCATTCTTTTAGTTTGTAAACTACACCCATTATCAAGCAATATGCATATAAACATCAGCTTTCCAAATTAGCTGCAGAGACCGGGACAGAAAATGTCAGCAAAAAGAATACATTAACTTGCAACAGCGCCATCATGTGTCCAATAAAAAATGGAATTTCGCTCCATCACATAATCACCCATGTGACAAACTTTCTTATTCATCTCTATTTCTCCCCCCCCCCCCCCCCCCCTCTCTCTCTCTCTCTCTCTCTCCCTTTCTTGCTATATTATCACTTTCCTTTTCCATCACTCCCACCTACCCTTAACCCAGAAGCATCCAAACTGGACTATCTTTATCAATATCCTGATGAATGCTTACCATTCTCTTTCGTTTCTTCCACGCCTTGATGTTAGTCTGGTGGTTTTCATAGATGGCTTTCTTAAGCACCACACTAACATGGCTACCAGTTGAATTGACCTGAGAAACTACCCCCCCCCCTCCTCTATTTCCATCACTCCCACCAGCATCCAAACTAAACTATCTTTATCAATATCCTGATAAATGCTTACCATTCTCTTCCGTTTCTTCCAAGCCTTGATGTTAGTCTGGTGGTTTTCATAGATGGCTTTCTTCTGCTCCACACTAACATGGCTACCTGCGGATTTAACCTGAGTGACTCTGCTTTGCTTTTTGGCACACTATAAACAAAACAAAACTACAATTAATGCAACCTGTTTTTATAGATAGACTTCCAAATCAAAGAAGACGTGACAATAAAGTGGTCTTTTTAGGCAGGTGGTCTTTACATAAGTCTCTCTTCATTCCATGTTTTAAAGAGTAATACTGTTTAATACAACCTTTAAACAAAATTGGTAGAAACAGGTATTAAAACAAATATTCATTTTACAAAAATTATTCATTGAAAAGGTGGTAGTGTACAGCTAGACCATACGAATGAATAGAAAAAGAAGCTCCAGGTATGTACTATAAAGCTAGAATGTTAAGCAAAATGAATCTTTTTTTGATGAATTAAACAACAAAGTCCAGGAGGAACTTAAATCACAAGTTTGCATACAAAGTTATTACCCTTCAGGCTCTCTTTGAATGACACATGTATGCATATGTAGAACAGGTGCATACAAAGGGGGAAGAAGAAGCCTAAAAATGGTAAAAAGAAGTACCATGCTTCAGCATATTCAAAGGTATTTACATCTGTTTGGTATTACCCTTCTTAGCATATTTATTTGTTTTTTTGCATTTTAGATCCTAGTTTGTTACCAATAATTTAAGGTATGTAAATCTGATCAAAGAAATTCTATATTTCTGACTTTAAGTAGCTCACAAGATAAAACTTGAACAATAAAACATTAGGTATAGCTAAATAAAAGCATAAGGAAGTTACTAGTACAACCCTTGATTCTGTTGAAAATATATCCCACCTGACCTAAATTGAGATAATCTCCATTTCAGCGACCTACATTGTAAATCTGGAAGATATTTCTTACAATTTCGGTATAAAGTTATCGGTTGATTTAGCCGGCTTGAAACTCTAGAAAGCCATAAACAGGAGCAAGCTTAAGCCTTCACAGCCCAGGTTTGAGAGAGCACAGTATATTTGTGTACAGGGATTAAGGGCTTGGTATTGTCGGGGTTAATGATTCTCTATACCCCCTGCCGACGGATGAGATGTAACCCTAGAGGGCTGTCACGTCCCGACAATGTCATTCCGTAACAGCTGATGAGAATTTCTTGCCGAGAATAAGACGGAGAAACGATGAGCTAGCTTCCTCTTGCCTTCATTGACAATGAATGACAAGTCTTTGCAACAATAAGTGTTCCCTCGATAATTTCTCCTTAAAAGGGCCATTACTGTGAAATACAAATTAAGCTACTTAAGAGGAATATTACAGAGCTTACATTAAGGTTATGTTGTAATACATTTGGAAAAAAGAATTGTTTCTAAATTGGGATGATAATTGATGATAAATGCTAATGAATATTAATGATTTGTAAATGAATACACTTGAAAAAGAATAGACAGTAGATGGATATGTGTGTGAGTCATAACTTTTTTTTTTTTATTTATTTCTTTTTTTTGTGTGTGGAGAGAGAGAGGGGTTCATATGTTGAATTTAATAATGCCCCTTTATTGGGCAATGCTTTATTTATCCTTCTGATATTTTCATTGATTAAATAAACCTTGGATGAGAAATAAATAATCCTCAGATATATTGGTCTTACATGGATAAGACAATTAAGTCTGAAGGTGCCTGGAGCTTAATTTGTGTTTGTTGCTTATATATAACAGAAACAAATTGAATAATAATAATAATAGTTTGCATTTATATAGCACTCAATACATTGAAGCTGTCTCCAAGAGCTTTCGGATATACTTCTCATATATAGTGCCATGATTTTTTCTGCCCTTGAATAAATAAAGGATTGCTCATAAGTATTTACAAAATATCAAGTTTAAGGTGTGGTTTTTACTATTTCAACACAGAACTTGATGTTTGAATTACAAAAAGTGCATTGTAATTTCCCCATAAATTCACTATAACCTATGCACATCGACGACGATATCTTGCAACTGGCTTTTTACTGCCGCTGTGTTTTTGATCATTTAGAATGAACCATAACATGAACCTAATCTGTCGATCAAGATTAAAAGCGATGACCACAATCACATGTTATGGACTCCGCCCCTTCACCCCTCCCTCCTCCCAATCCCCAATGATTCACTCCAAATCATCGACCTATCAAGACTGATTTCCTGCTCTAGAGCTTGAAGCTTAGTCTGCAAGGGCTTGACCTGAACAGAGAGGGGTGTGTTTTACACCTTCCCTAGAATCCCTACCTACGTACACCCCTCATCGTACTCATTTTTGCCATCCAGACAGAGCACCAGGTAGAGGGAGAGAAAAATTCTTTATTTTGGGGGAGGGGGGAGGGGGAGGGGGGATGGAGAGAGAGGGGTGGAGGGCAGGGGAAAGGAGAGAGAGAAAAAAATATGGATAAACGGGAATAAATAAATGAAAAACAAAAGATCAGTAGATATCCTCTTCATATTAAGTACTGTGTGAAAATTCAAAGTAACGAATTAGGAGAGAAACAGCAAAGAGAGAGAGAGAGAGGGGAGGGGGAAGGTGGAAGAGTAGAAAGGGATGAGAGGGAGAGACATACAGATAGGAGAACGACAGAGAGGTGTAGAGGGACAGAAGAGATACGTGTAGACGGAGACAGAGAGAAACAAAGACAGAGAGAGGGGGAAGAGGGACACAGAGAGAAAGGAGAGGTGTAGAGGGAACGTGAGGCATAAAGTGTTAGATGGAGAGGAAGGGAAATGAAGAGTGGTAGGGAGGGGAGGAGAGAGAGAGAGGGGGAGAGGGGGAGAGAGAGAGAGAGGGAGAGAGAGGGGGAGAGAGAGAGAGAGAGAGAGAGAGAAAGAGAGATGGAGAGAGGGAGAATGGAAGGCAGAGTCAGAGACAGAGGAAAGAGGACAGAGACAGGGCATAAATGTAGAGGATGAGAGACAGAGAGAGAAAGAGACAGACAATAACACACACAGGGGAAAGAAGGAAGCATATACAGAGAGAGAGAGAGAGACAGAGAAATAGAGAGAGAGAGAGAGAGAGAGAGAGAGAGGGAGATAGGGAGCATGGGAGAAGCAAGATTGTGTTTTCTGAATGGCCCTCCATTATATTGAAGCATCAATCTTCATCACAGGATGGAAGAAGAAGAAACCATAACATTCCTGTAGCTAGCTTGAAGATCATATGGGATCTATCATTTCATCTCATTTACCGCTGTCTGCAACTCAGTCCCTAGAGTACAGCCACCTTCAGCTTCCATTCAGTCATGCAATTATCCACATGCTATTTTCTGCACTTGAATCCTAACCTCAGCTAATCAATCAGGCAATGGCATATCCATGGGGGCGGGGATGTGCCCTTTGTGCCTCCTCAATCTGCGCTAATTTATAATACTGTATTTCGAAATGTACAAGTCGCACAATATCCACTAAATATGTAAAATCTTTTTATTAATGGTTGTGTCCCCCCTCCCCCCCCTCCCCATCTGCCATACATGTACCTTTTTCATATTCATATTTTTTTTTCATTTCCAACAGAAAGGTAAACAAAGATATAACTTTTTTTTTCATACACCTTTGATACACACCAAGAGTAAAATGTAAAAATTTTCCTTTTTCCTTTATGTTTAAATGAAATACATGTGCCCCCTTTAGTAAGTACTATGCCCCCTCCCCCTTTTTGTTGTTGCTTGTGTGTCCCCCCCCCCCCCCCCCAACCCCTCCAGCTCTGGACAGACAGTCCTGGATCTGCCACTGTCAGTAATCTCATAACCATGTGTCCTATGAGCTCACCTTATAAAATGTACCATGAATTTTAATAATGAAAATCAACAATACAAAGTTGCAAAAAATTACAAAATGTCATTAACCTCATCCCCCTGGGTCAAAGAGTACTGGATATGCCACTGTTAGCAATCTTATACCAACATTCACATGACTCTTTTGCTTCTTAGTTGCCCCACGAGGCCATTAGATAGATAATTTCCTGTTACCTCTGAAATCAAGTTGAGACTTTTAGGGTGCAGAGCATAGTTCAACTCACAATTCTGCCAGGAAACGAACCCAACCCCCCCCCAAAAAAAAAAATAATAAATAAATAAATAAATAAAAAAAATAAAAAATAAATAAATAAATAAATAAATAAATAAATAAATAAATAAATAAATAAATAAATAAATAAATAAATATTTTTTTTTTTTAAATCCCACTTTTCAGGTATCATTCAATTTGGGATGCATTTAATACTAGAATGTTATATCTGCAGACCTGGGCCATGCCTTATAAAGAGTTGATATTAATCGCAAGAATGAACATAAGAAATAAGAGACTGCAAACTTGCTATTGATTAGAGGACGTTTGATTGATTCCGATCAATTGCAACTCTTCAAAAGACGGGGCCCTGACTTACAGTTTTGCTTTGCAAATATAATTTACAGAGGCATTGCAACTTTGAACTTAATTTGACTTTGAGATAATGTACAATATTATGACTGCAACTTATTACATTTTGGGACTTCAATGGGGAAAAACTGACTGATTTTGATGCTGCAAATAACATTTTAAAACCAAATTTGGTAATCAATTTAGAAATCATTGATCTCTTATCAAGAAGGGTTTGTCCCATTTGAGCATAAATGATTGTCGAAAATGCCAAAGCACAATAGGAATAACCAATCTTCTGCACAATTTCATTATTCTCACACTTTCCACAAACAACACAAATACGTTCCGCACTTGTTTTCTTAAACACAGCATTCAACATTCTTAAAACTGTTTCTGTTTCTCACAAAATTTCATTAATTCAATATGTACAATATAAAAAAACAGAATGCCTTCAGGCAGCCTGTACATCTTCACGAACAGAATAATCTTGGAAATCTCTATGATGTACACGAGGTTTACCCATTTAAATATTTTCCCTAGGAGATAGTTAATCACAAAGGATCTTCAAGTGGGAACAAAGCCTTGGTATCGATGCGTGTCTGATATTAGACATCTGAAACACATGAATCACAGCTTTATCAAACTGCAATACATAAATAAACATTGCAAAGGTCATTGGGTTTCTTTCTGCTAGATGTTCATAAGATTATGACCAAAATAGACATGATTCTTTAATAATACAGCCCTGGAGCATTAACTATGAATAAAGAAACGTCTAACTTTAGATGCTTAAAGAGAAGTGATTATTAAATGACAAATGAGGGTTTCTAAAAGGAGCAAAGGAGACTGAGCCTAGATGGTAAAACACAAACCCCAAAGGTAAATGGGTAAAGGAAGAACTACGTTAAGTGATACAAAAATATAGAGTGAGAGATGGATATATATATATATATAGAGAGAGAGAGAGAGAGAGAGAGAGAGAGAGAGAGAGAGACAGAGAGAGAGAGAGAGAGAAGAGAGAGAGAGAGAGAGAAAGAGAGAGAGAGAGAGAGGCAGGTTGACGTACAGACAGAGACAGAGATATAATTATATAGAAAAGAAAATAATGTGACCAAGATAGAGAATGGGATAACCTTTTCCCAGCAAATGAAACACAGGGTTTGATTTTCACTCTCTCTGTTACCACTACATTGCAAGTGTAAGATTAGGTTTGATTCCCACTAGAGTACACTAGTGCTCTGAAGCTTCCAGAAACACACATTTTCAGCAACCCCCCCCCCCCCCCCCCCCCCTCCCTGACCCTCCTCCTTGCAGCTACGCCACTGAATGTATAGAAACCTACCATAGCTGTGAGTTCTTGTATCCTCTGCTTGGCTTCATCATTGGTCAAGGAACTATTCAACATTGCGATTTCTGAACGGAAGAGAAACAGAAAAAAAATTATGGTAAAGACGATTACACCTCAGTCATACCAACAAAACCAACACCAGACCAACAGCAGGCCCAACAAACAATAACATTACCACAAACAGTCTAAAATTTGTCGGTTTTAATTCGGTGTGGAGTTAGTTCAGTGGTGTGACTAAGGTATTAGACCATTCAATGATTTCACATAATTACACATTCAAGCTAGATTCCAAATAATGACCATCACAGTTTTTTTTAACATGATCATCACAGCAATCTAGCTGATCCTCACTGTATCCCTTGTGACCTTTGTAGTTTAATTAATTAATTAAATTTAATCCCTGTCTAAAATTAATTCCTTCTCTTAAGAAGTCATAATCATATGAATAGACGTTATAATTGACTTGGTTTTGAACCCGGGACCTCCCGGTTAAGAGACCACTGCTCTACCACTGAGCCATCATGCCTGTATTGTTATTACCTTTCTCCATTTGTTTGCATTTTGTCCTGGAAGTCTCTAAACTTGCTGTCAACCCAGTGATCTTGGTGTCCATGTCTTTCAATTCTTTCTCATCTACACTTGGAAATTGGCTCTAATCAAGAACACAAAAATGAAATATGCAAATACATCCAAATTTATCAGAGGCCTCAACAACAAAACATCTCTATATTACTTGCAAAAATCAGATATTAATCCCACTTGCAGGCAAGCAACAATTTGTTATTCAATATTCATGATTCTGAACAGCTGTGGGCCACTCAGCAAATTTTAGTCATCTGGCTGCAATAAATGTCCGTATTCAATTAATTTAAATTGAGAGCCTTTTTGGAGGTTTTATAACTAAATATCATTTCAGAACCATGTATACTTGCCATCTTTATAAGTTTAGCCAATAAGGACGGAGCTTTCTGCTTTAACTTAGCTATCAACTCTTCTCAAACCAACCAATCAGAAGCCAACTTTCTAAAATAGGGACTTTTAGATTTGCACGAAGACAATGTGGATTGCTACGATCAACGTCCTTTTAATGCACTGTCTTGAATGGACGTCACATGTATCAGTCCAAGCAAATCTAAAAGTCCCTAATATTGCAACTTCATTGACCAATAAGGATCAAGTAGTCTGTTCATATAATTCTAACTCTAAATATTCACCCATTCAATAGTTTTTTGTATACTTGAAGCAATGCAACTTTTCTATTTAAAAAAAAAGCAAAATATTGAGCAGGGGTGTTTCTATCTCCAATAAATTTACATAGAATAGCAACATTGTATGAAACAATTCTCAACTCAAGATTATAGTCAGATAATTTACCTGATCAGCAAAATAAATCTTTTGCTTTCCATACACCTTCTCTATAATCTTGCCATCTTTGGCTAGGTCTTCAAGGCATCTTACAATGAGCTGGTAGGAGAAAGAAGGGATGGAAGTGAGAAAGGGGGTTATTAAATAAGCTCTGGGTTTAGGATATGAAGACCTGAACAGCTACATAGAAATTCTGCTTTCGGCATAGATAGAAGTTTTTACATCCTTACAGATAGAAATGTAAATGTGTTGTGGTCCAATGGACAAGTCTCTGGAGTCTGGACTGTGAACAACAAGGTACAGGGTTCGAATCCCTGCCACAACAACTAACGTCCTTTGGCAAGGCATTAATTTACATTTGCCACACTCCACCCATGTGAGGTAAATGGGTACCTGGCAGGATTATTCCTTAAAATGTACTGTGTGCTAATAACGGCTTCTGAAGCTAAAGCCAAAGTTATAATTTTCAAAACTTTTTGGAAGCGCACAGGGACATTATAATGTGATATGCACTAAACAAGAAAGCAAAATTTTGATCATTATTATTATTCATTATTTATCATCATTATAATTATTATTATTATTAATATTACCATTATTGTTTTTTTAAAAATTATTATTGTTTTTATTATCATTTTTATTATCATTATTATTATTATTATTATTGTAATTATCATTAAAAGAAAAAAACATGACATGGACAAAGATAATGTCTTGGGAAGGAGGTCATAAAGAGCTATATCATATGAACTGTAGATAAACATGAAAAGAAAAGCAGTATGGTTCAGTTTCATATAAATAGAAAAATCTTTATTTATTATGACTATGTTTACATAGCAACCCCCAATAAGATATCAAAAATAAGCCAGAACTCCTCCCCTACTTACAGGAACTGACCACAAAGCAACACCTTTCCTCAATGACGGTTTCCCATGTGATTGAACTTGATCACCAGGCAATCGCCTGATCAGGAAATTAACTAATTACAATTAGCAACAAGGATCTAAATACACCTAGAATAGCACATGGAGGCCTGCTTAAAGGTCATGTATAGTTTTGGTAAGACCTCCAAAAAAAAATCTTCACTTTTTAATAATAGCAAGACACTAGGAATTCTAAGAAACTATGAAGTTTTATCCTCCTCGTGTGGAATATTAAAGATAAAATTGAGTTCTGGTAACAAAAAGAAAATGAATTCTCACATAATCAAACAAAACTTACACTGAAAGTTCAAGATTACAAATAAATGTCATTTGCCAAACAATTTTGGTAGAAAATGTATACTGGCTGAGTAATGAGCATAGAAAGAAAAGGAAATCAAGGTGTACTAACCCGACACCATTTGTGTAGTCCCATATACATCTTTCTGTGTATAGTGTTTGCAACTTTACCAAGACTGGGCCACATTTCTTATCATTTTGATGATTCCAGAACCTTGCAGTACACACCAATACTTATATGCTAAATGATCAACCTTTTCTGATCAATTCCACACCGTTTCTTTCACAATGCAATCGCATGACCAGTACTCAACTTTATCTTTAAAGAAATGAAAGCACTGCTTCAAGACGTGAACTTTTTGAACTAATGTGCATCCACAAGCTTGTAATTATTTAGGAAGGGCATGCTACAACATTACATTGGCTTTGACATCCCTGAGGAGCCTATTCATTTAATAGGCTGTAGATAGAGGACTTCCTTGAAAGTATATTTAGCTGATTATATATTAAGCACCTCTGGTATTTTTAGTTTTATGAACTTGTTTGATAAGAGAGAAGACAAGCTTCATATTAGTGAATATTGTCCTAAAAATAAACATTTTGTTTTAAATGCTCTAGTCAAAGAAAAATGTTTAGACACATTGGGATTCATTTTAATTCAAATGTTATCTAAATGCAAGATCCATATTGTTTAGTATTTTGAATTTCTAGATTATCATATCTTTTTCTTGATTTGTTTGAGAGCTTTGCTCTTAACCAACTGCTCTCCATCTAAACCAGGGCTCCCACTTAGCCGAGTTGGAGCCTCGAGTTATGGCGAGCTGGCGCGAGCTTATGGCAAGCCGTGTTATTATTAATACATTTTTCTTGATATCTAGAAATCAATTGTTGATATCAAGAAATAATTTTACTTTGTAAAGCAATGGTAATTCTTGATATCAAGAATTGAATTGGTGATATCAAGAATTTGATTTCGTGATATCAAGAATTGAATCCTTGATATCAAGAAATATGTATTAATGATAAAACGGCTTGCCATAAGCTCACCACAACACTAGGCTCCACCTCGGCTAAGTGGGAGCCCTGCTTTAATGATGATACCAGCAGGTCCATGTTTCACTGCAGAATTGTAGGGCTAGCCTCATTGGTGTCGCATGGGTTCGGATAATGATGGGGCACCAGGCATCATTTGGGGAGCCAATTCTATTAAATAAAGAGCTTTTTTATAAAAGGGTCATATCATCATCTTTTCACATTCCCATTCCCCTTCTCTTTTCTTGTTTTCTTTCCTTCTTTCTCTATCTCTCTCTCTCTCTCTCCCTCCTTCTCTCTTTCTCTCTCTTTCTCTCTCTCTCTCTCTCTCTCTCCATCATCTTGACATCCTCCCTAGCTCAGATGGCTACACCACGAAAGGAACTCATAGACATTCCCTTGATGAACAATATGATGCAGTATTGCAGTATGTGGGAGTTCTGTCATTTCAGAAGTTGAAGGGCATCTTGACTTGTAGGCTTATGGCTTGTGCTTGTGGCTTACAATATTTTGATGGGATATGGCAACAGTCCAAACGTTAAAATAGGACAAAGGACATTCAATCCAAGATTTCTAGAGGACATGAATAGAATTTTAGCGATATCACTCATTTGGTTTAAAGTAAGGATATACGAGGTTAAAGTAAATAATAGACCTAAATTTGTAAGAGAGAGTGAGAGTGAGAGATAGATAGAGAGAGAGAGATAGAGAGAGAGAGAGAGAGAGAGAGAGAGAGAGAGAGAGAGAGAGAGTGAGGGAGAGAGAGAGAGAGTAAAGACATTTAGAATTACAATGTAAGGGGATGAAGAAAGAGGAGTAAAAGAGAGACAGAGTGAGGACAGGGATAACAAAAGGGGGAATGAGAGAGAGGGAAACAAACAGCTGATATGGCTTTGTTAAAAAAGGTAATAATTCAGTATAAAAAGTAGTTAAGTACCCTACGTCATACAACAAAATGAAATACAATAAAATCATCTGTTAGTACAGTGTGCTGTTCTTTATATTAAAACTTCCTCTTGAAAAAACACCATGTCACGATCAATTTCAAAGCGAAAACAAACGCCAATCATGTCTCTGTGACGCTCAGTTTCTGGCACAGCCGACTTCAGCTGTAAGCTAGTCCACATGAATCAGCACCCAAATACAGCCGCAACCTGATGGAAAGCCGTCAGCTACAAAAGCATGGAAGTATTTTGGTCTGATCAATGGCGACAGTCCAAGCAGATGAGAAGTTCTGACTGGGAGTATATATTCTGCCTTGTCATGTAGAGCTGGTTTTTCGTTCCGCCCTTAGTTGTACAACTTGTAATGATATTATAAGAGTAGGCCCTGAAACCTGTGAGGCGTGATACCAGGTTTACGTTTACATGTAATTTATGAAGTGTTCCATGATCGATAGATGCATTCATTCATTTTAAATGCACATCTAGGCAAGTCCAAGGTCTTTCTCCCTCACTTTATTAAACCACTTTAAAAAATTAAAAAATTAAAAAATAAAAGATGTCATCACATTGATCACCATCTTTCAAGGAAATGACATTTGCAATGGTATTCTTTTCAGGTTTTTTTCTATCACGTTTGGTTACAGATGTCTCTGTTTCTTATTCATAACTATCCAAACCTCTATAGGAACTCTTAAAGATGTTGTGCAAAGAGACTTTCAGAAATATAAGTTAGCAAATCAGCTGGTCAGAGCCAGAAAGGGCTCTAATTCTGTGCTACAGTATAAGAGTTAATGTACTTCTGGCTCCAAACAGACAAATTATTTATTGTTATAACTTTTCACAAAGTAGCTGTGATCTTTAAACAAAAAGATCATCCATTTCTTTAAATACCCACTAATAATTATGCATATATTAAATAGTGTGTTGGATGATATCATATAGTAAATTTAAACTTATTCTTTATGTATGATGCTCTTTATAATAATGCTTTTAAAAAACACATAAAGCACTGCATTATTCTAATTGCAAGTTCATTTAAAGGACATATGTGCAGAATATGCTCATCATGCGTTGCAATATAAATTCCTCCTGGGTTTGAACATAAACCCACAGGTACGTCACTATATCAAGTATTGACCTACATGTAATGTAAGTTCATTCCAAGGACACGATGTGCAGGATATGCTCTAATTGTCATGCAAATACGTTCACAAAGATCACAGGACCTGAATTCCTACTAGAATTCATTATAAAACCACAGGTATTGCACGAAAATTGTTCTGAAATGTTGCAAGTTCATCTAATTAAGGACATTCGTGTTTCGCAGAATGTGCTAGTCATGTTCTCTATATTCCTCCTGGGTACGAACATTAAACGACAGTTAACGTCACAGGCACTGATCACATGTCAGTTCAGTCAAAGGACATTAATGTGCAAACTATTGAGGATATACAATCACAGACCACAACGTGTCTTTCATAAATGGACTGTAGTAATAAGTGGTGAGGCAGCAGGTGCCGAGACCATTTAGATTCCCAATTATTAAAGAACAAGATAATTCTTGTCAAATTTTGTTGGTTTGCTAAAAGCAGGGCCACTCTTTAGTCCAAGTGGGAACAAAAATATTAGCATAATCATTTATATTTTCAGCCAGACGAGCCTTTACTTGAATATAGGACAGGAAAATACACTTTAAATTAAAATAATTATAACACACTCACACCCACCCACTCACACCTTTACAACCATAAGAGAGAATGAAAAAGGCACACACAAATATAACACACTCATACCCACCCACCCACACCTTTACTACCATAAGAGAGAATGAAAAAGGCACACACAAATATAACACACTCACACCCACCCACCCACACCTTTACAACCATAAGAGAGAATGAAA